CTAAAAATACAAAAAACTAGCCGGGCGAGGTGGCGGCGCCTGTAGTCCCAGCTACTCGGGAGGCTGAGGCAGGAGAATGGTGTGAACCCGGGAGGCGGAGCTTGCAGTGAGCTGAGATCGCGCCACTGCACTCCAGCCTGGGCCACAGAGCGAGACTCCGTCTCAAAAACAACAACAACAAAAAACAATTACTTTTGCACCAACTTAATTTCCTTTTTCTTTTTCTTTTTTCTTTTTTTTCAGACAGAGTCTCACTCTGTCCCCCCAGGCTGGAGTGTGATCTTGGCTCACCTTAACCTCTCCCTCCCGGGTTCCAGTGATTCTCCTGCCTCAGCCCTTCAAGCAGCTGGACTACAGGCACGCACCACTGCGCCCGGCTAATTTTTGTATTTTTAGTAGAGACGAGGTTTCACCATGTTGGCCAGGCTGGTCTCGAACTCCTGAGTAGCTGGAACCACAGAAGCACACCACTACTCCTGACTAATTTTTGTATTTTTTGTAGAGACAGTGGGTTTCATTTTGTTGCCCAGGCTGATCTTGAACTCCTGGAGGCAAGTGATCCTCCTGCCTTGGCCTCCTGAAGCCCTGGGATTGCAGATGTGACTGTCTGCGCCCAGCCTCAATATTCCTTTCTTTTTTTCATCCTTTGAGACAGAGTCTGGCTCTGCCACTCAGGCTAGAGGGCAGTGGCACCATCTCAGCTCACTGCAACCTCCGCCCCCCGGGTTCAAGTGATTCTCCTGTCTCAGCCTCCCGAGTAGCTGGGGTTACAGCCACTCACCACCACACCTGACTAATTTTTGTATTTTTAGTACAGACAGAATTTCACCATGTTGGCCAGGCTGGTCTCGAACTCCTGACCTCAAACAACCCACCATGTCCCAATGTGAGGGGGACCCCAGGCTGGCGGGGGAGCTGGGGACACCGCAGTCCAGGACCAACCCGTCTCTTGCCTGGTGGGGGCTCCGGCAGGAGGGGGCCCACCCACCTTGGCCCCAATATTCATCTTAATAGTTATTATAACAGCATATTTAAAATGAGGCCGGGCGCGGTGGCTCCCACCTGCAATCCCAGCACTTTGGGAGGCAGAGGCAGGTGAATCATTTGAGGTCAGGAGTTCCAGACCAGCCTGGCCAACATGGTGAAATCCCGTCTCTACTAAAAATAACAAAAATTCACCGGGCGTGGTGACAGATGTCTGTAATCCCAGCTACTCGGGAGGCTGAGGCAGGAGAATCGCTTGAACCCGGGAGGCAGAGGCTGCAGTGAGCTGAGATTGCACCATTGCACTCCAGCCTGGGGGACAGAGACTGTCTAAAAAAAAAAAAAAAAAAAAAAGAACATAGTAACAGTTACAGTAACAGAATATATACTTGTTGCCCCTGGTGCTTCTTTTGTGCTTCCTCTGCCTCCCTGACTTCTCCTCCTGTTTTCCCTTTGTTGCCCCTTAAATCTGACCCCCACTGAGACGCCCCCTCCTGCAGAAGCCCCCACAGGCAAGGGATGGGTCCGTCCCGGGTTGCCGCGCCTCCAGCTCCCCCACCAGCCTGGAGTTCCCCTCATGTTGGGACACGGTGTCCAGAGAGAAGGGGCCCGACAGGTGAGCTCACCTTTGGCTGAAGCAGTGGGCGGCCGAGATCACCCAGCGGGCTCGCAGCAGGAAGCCTCCACAGTGGTGCTGGCCCCCAAAGCGCACGGATACCATGTAGGGCCTGGAGTGGGGGGTCACCTCGTGGCCGCCGATGATCTGGGCCCCCCAGGAGCCTGCTGGAGGGACAGCCTGAGTCAGGGACGAGGCAGGAGGAAGGGCTGACGGGCTGGGGTCAGGGCAGGGGGAGAAGGAGCGGCCGAGACACAGACGGGTGAGATGCGAGACAGAGAGACACAGAGAGCTGGAGACAGAGCCCAGACAAGCCCCCTAGTTGTGCTGGGAGGGGCTCCCGAGACCGGGAGATCCAGGGTGGGGCGGGCCGGCCCAAGACCCCCGTCGGATTTGCACCCATTTCCAGCAGAGGCAGCCACGGGCGCTTGGCAGATGGAGCAGGTGGAGCTCTCCCCAGGGTTCTCCAGGGACTGGGGGCTCCTGGGTGTGGCTGCCCTACGGGGACTTGGCGGGGGCCTGGGTGGGGATCCGGGGGGCTCCTCACCGAGGGGCTTCATGGGCAGCATCAGGGCAGTGGCCACGGTCAGCAGCGGACGTCCCCAGGCCCCCGACCCAGGCCCCATGGCGGATGCGGGCTGGTGTCACCCTGCAGAGGTCTCCGGGCCGTGGCTCCCACCCTCAGCCAACGGCCGGAAAGGGGGAGCCTGACTGTGGCCTGTGGTCAGGAGGCCCCACCAGCAACGCCTGAACCCCAGCCGGCCGTTTCTGGGAAATCGATGGTCTCAGGTGGTGGCTGATAATAATCATGTTGATAATAATCACTGCCGCCTGGGCCAGAAACGGGGGTGGGGGAGACAGCTCTGGGGCTGCAGGTGACCTCAGCAAGGCGCTCGACCCCCCTGTGCCTCAGTTTACCCAGCCTCAACACAGCTCAGCATGTGTGGGGAGCTTTCTGAAGAGCCGATGTCACAGCGGCACTGGAGACCCTGCAGCACCCCTCCGGCCCCCACCCCCCAAACCCCAGTCTTCCCATCTCCAACCCCAGTGCCCACCTCAGGACTGTGGGGACAATGAGGAAGGCGGGTCTCCTGGGAAGCTCTGATGATTTCTGCCTTTATTTTATTATTATTATTTTTTTGAGACAGAGTCTCACTCTGTCGCCCAGGCTGGAGTGCAGTGGCGTGATCTCGGCTCACTGCAAGCTCCGCCTCCCAGGTTCACGCCATTCTCCTGCCTCAG